ATAGATACACCACAATTTATTTACCATTCTTTTGTCCGATGGATATTAGTTGCTTACATTATATTGTTTATTATGTTTTGCTATTACAAACAATGGGATTATGAACTTCCTTATATATGCAAGAATTTCTTTAGGTTATATACCTAAGAGTAGAATTACTGAATGTGAGGGGAGGCACATCTTCAACTTTATAAGGTAAAATCAAATTGTGGTAAAAAATGATGGTTGCCGAGGCACCTGGGTGGTTCAGGTAGTTAAGCATCTGACTCTAGGTTTCGGCTCTGGTCATGATCTCAGGGTTGTGGGATGGAGACTCTCACTGGGCTCCAAGCTCAGCACTGAGTCTGCTTGAGATTCCTTTCCCCATCCTCTTCCTCTTCTTTTCCTCCCCCCACTCCTGCTTATGTGTGCTTTCTCTCAAATACATAAATAAATAAATCCTTTTTTTTTTTTATTAATCAACGAAATGTTTTCATCAAGCCTCAATGAAAACCTCCAAATCATCTCCATTTTACCCATTAAAACATTAAGGAAACAGTTCTCCGGGAAAACTCTTACTCATCTGCAAAGGGTGACTACAAAAGTAAATGGAGATTATTGTAGTAGTATTTGTAATAGTTAAAAAAAAAAAAAAAAAAGACAACAAAAAAAACCTAAACATCCATAATAGGGGACTGGATAAATAACATCAGGTATATTGATATGATACACTACTGAAAACAGTAGTTGAAAGAAATTAAAATATGCCTAATAAACAGACTACACATTTTTAACGGATATACATGAATAGGAAGGATACACATTAATAACAGTGGTTGCTACTGGGAAAGAACAAGGACCAAAGGCCTGGGTGGCAGGTGAAGAAATAGGGGTAGGGTAGGTCCTGGTCTGGAGGTGTGGAGGTCGAAGTCATTACTCGTTTTCTTTGTACAAAGGCCTGAACTTCCATTTAAACATTGGTGAAATGGACACAATTCTTTGCACCCTGCTGAAGCCTCTTTAGAATGACTCTAAGGGAATAATAAAGGTATAGATGGACAAAGGGAAAGGGGGAGGAAAAGGCAGGTGAGATATGTCAACAGAATTTTGGAAAACGGATAGCAGGAAATCAGGTAGTAACTGACTCAGCAGGGAAAAGCTGAAGTCTGAGGCTACAGAGGGAAAAGCCAAAAATCTGGCCAGTGAGTACTGCAAAACGCTCAAGAGGGCAGTGATTAAAGGTCCAGGAATCACTGCACACAGGGGCAAGGCACGGGAATGAAAATAGGAGAACTTGTTGGAAGTGTGAGCCAGAAGTTAGACCCCTCAGGTCTCCTTTCTGTCCCCAAACAATCAGGCAATATCCACCTCTAGCCTCAGAAAAAAAATAGGAGATTTAATTCTGGTTGTACTGTACCAGAGAGGGTCCAGAATAGAAGATACCAGCTCAAGGAACGAGGGAGGATGTGAGATGCCTTGCTCTAAAAAGGACCAGTAAGTCAAAGATGACATAAAAAAGAGTGACACCATCGGCTGGCTCCCTTTTCCAATCTGGCTCCCAAAGGTCTCTGCACGCTGGCAGCCCTGCAACCTCACCAGGAGCCTGCTCTCAGCTTGCTAGCAAGAAAGGAAAGGATTTCTCTTCCCAGAAAAAGTGACCAGCCTAAGAGGAAAGACCTTCTGGCAGATAATTGGGGATTCAAAAAAGAAAACAAAAAAAAGGGATCTGGGTCTCCCTTCTCCATCACATCCAACAACAGTGCCTGCAAGCACAGAATCTGCCAGTTCTCTCACCCTGAACGACCTATCAAGGGCCACCAGATAGCACAACTGTCAGATTAAACAGCAACCAAAACCAAAAGACGTGAAAGGAAACCGAGATAATGAAGATTTCACAGTAAATGTTCTCAAAGCGATAGCCCCAAAACAAAAAGTACAGAATATTATTTTAAAAAATAATAATAAATAAAGGAACATCAGTGAATGTGAGCAATCCGCTAGAAACACAAAATGATACAAAACAAAACTCCCAGAAACAACAACAAATAGGTAATATTCCAAAGAACTGACTCAGAAGAAAAAGAAAATAGGATGCATTAAGAAAGTCCCACAACATGAGAAGCATGGATGGCTCAGTCGGTTAAGCTGCTGCCTTCGCCTCAGGTCACGATCCCAGGGTCCTGGGATCAAGTCCTGCTTCTGGCTCCTTGCTCATCGGGGAGCCTGCTTCTCTGCCTCTGCCCGCCACTCTGCCTGCGTTTGTGCTCTCTCTCTCTGACAAATACATAAAATCTTTAAAAAAAAGAAAGTCTCACAACAAACAGAAGTTCTAAGAAAACAGAAAAGGCCAAAATACAAGATGTTTTCCCAAAATGAAAGACTTGAGTTTCCAGATTCAATAAGGCAAAATGCCCTCACAATGAATGAAAAAGACCCATTCCACAGCACTGCACCATGAAATTTCAGAAAGAGAATTGAAAAAGAGATCCTAAAATCTTCCATTCAGAGAGAACATTTCACAAAGGAATCAAAATGGCATCACACTTCTCAAGAGCAGTTTCGGAGAATGTAGTTTTTTGTTGTTTGTTTGTTTTTTTTTTTTAATTTATTTATTTTAGAGAGAGAGTATGTGCCAGTGGGGATGGGGAGGGGCAGAAGGAGGGAGAGAGAGTTTCAAGCAGACTCCTCAATGGGCACAGAGTCCAAGGTGGGGCTCGATCTCATGACCCTGAGATCACGACCTGAGCCAAAGCAAGAGTCAGATGTTTAACTGACTGTACTACCCTGGCACCCCAGAATGTGTTAATTTTTAAAATTCTTTTTTTTTTTTTAAGGTTTATTTAAGTAATCTCTACACTCAACATGATGCTCAAGCCCATGCCCCCAAGACTGAGTCACACACTCTTCTGACTGGACAAGCCAGGCACCCTTCTTCTAAAATTCTTAAGTCAAACCAATAATCCAGTATGGAACACAGGATAAAGACATGTAACATTTCAAATAATTTACCTCCTAGAAGTAACTGGAGAATCTGTTCCACAAATAGTAACAACAATAAACAACAAACCAAACTAAACTAAAACAAAAATTAAATCGACACAAGATCTAGAAGAGAAACCTCATCACAAAAGATAGTTGAAAAGAACTCCCAAGGTGGTGATGAAGGGAAAGCCCATGAAAACTGACAGATGTATGTCTTTATTTATTTTTTTAAGATTTTATTTATTTATTTGACAGAGAGAGGTCACAAGTAGGCAGAGGAAGGCAGAGAGAGAGGAGGAAGCAGGCTCCCTGCTGAGCAGAGAGCCCGATGTGGGGCTCGATCCCAGGACCGAGACCATGACCCGAGCCGAAGGCAGAGGCTTAACCCACTGAGCCACCCAGGCGCCCCGACAGATGTATGTCAAACAGGGTAACCAACTCACCCCAATTTGTCTGGGACTTTGCTAGTTTTAGCACTAAAAGTTCTGTGCCCCAGGAAATTTCTCAGAACAGTTGCCCCCCTCCCCCACAAACAGACCAGGAGAAAGAACAGAAGAAAGGATGGCTCCCACATCAACCTTCAGAAGGAAGACTGAAACTGATGTGTCTGATCATATAAGCATTTTATCACCATTAACAGCATTAGCTTCATCTTTTCTGTTTGTAAACCATTTTGGTTTTTACTCATCTTTTTTGTTTTACTTAATTTTTAAGTGTGAAACACAGCATGGTTATAAAAGCCCAAACTACACAGAAGGTTATGTTCAGAGAACTGACACTGCCCTCATCCCTTCTCTTCCCACCTTACCCCCAACTGTGCACTCCACTCCTACCCACCTGCTGCTGGGTAACCAGTTTCATTAGTTTCTGGTTTCTTTTTGGGGTTCTTTTTGCACAGATGATTATATACACATCTATTTTATTTCTCCTTTGACAAACTGAATGCCATACACACTATTTTGCACTTGCTTTTTTCATATAACCATATATCCTTCAAATCACTCAATCATTTCATAGACAGTCTTCACTCATTCTCAGCTGCATAAAATTCCATGATGCAGATAGCAAAGTTTATTTACACACCCATTCACCCATGGACTGGCATTTAGGTGGCTTTTAACATTTCACAAATAAAAATACTGCCTTTTTTTTTTTTTTTTTAAAGATTTTATCTATTGGGGCGTCTGGGTTGCTCAGTCGTGAAGCTTCTGCCTGCGGCTTAGGTCCTGATCCCAGGGTCCTGGGATAGAGCCCCGCGTCAGTCTCCCTGCTCTACAGGAAGCCTGCTTCTCCCTCTCCCTGATGACCTGCGCAGAAGGCAGATGCTTGATGACTGAGCCATCCAGGTGCCCCAGAAATACTGTCTTGAATAACCTCATGAATCTGTACTTTTGTATTATTAAAGGTCCATCTTCAGGGTAAGTTCCTGCAGTAGAAAGGTGAAAGACGTCAAAGGTGAAATGCAAATGTTAATTTTGTTAACAATGCCAAATCCCCCTCAAAAAATGCTGCATGGATTTATATTCCTAACAGCAATATATTAGGAGTACCTGTTTTCCCAGACCCTTGAGAGAAAGTACTGTGACACTAGCAGAAAACTTTAAAGTATTTCAAATGACTAACATAAGCACACTGAAGGAGGGAAGGGGTGGACCTAGCCCAAAGTAACTTGTGAACACACTATTTTAACAATGTACACTGGGCTCAAGAACTAAATAAACCATAAACAGTGAGCCCTCCTTTTAATAGATTTGTTTTTCACCATGGAATGGGCCTGCAATTATGAAACCATTAAATGTTTATTCTGAACTGAGCAAATGATAAGATATAAAGTAAATGAGAGCCAGGATTTTCACCAGTTGGAGCAGCAAGTCATAAATCTGGAAAGGGGTAAAGCTCAGATGAAGCCTGCAGTTAAGAGACTGGAACTGAAGGTATTACTCTGAACCAATGTGTAAAGACAGACAACTACAAAAACAGACATAGATGTATACAGGTCCACTATTCTGAACGAAGAGGATCCTGAGTTCCCTGGCAATATGGCTGATTCCGAAGCTGGGGCTGGAAAATGTAAGCTAATAAGCCCAGACATCTCGCTGGGCCAGAAAGCAAAAAAGTAAAAAAAAAATGTGTGGAATGAGGGGGACCTGTCAGGACACAAAAGCCATGGTGAAGGGAGTCCCGCTGGCCACCTTTGCACAATTCATGCATTAAAGCTACTAACAGTAACAACTCAATAGTAAAGTCAGAACACACAAATCCATAATGAATAAACAAATGATGGAGAAAAGGCGGCTTTTCCTTACCGCAGAATGCCAATTAATAAATATCAAATGAATTTTTATATATGTATTTTAACATTTTATGTATTTGACAGAGAGAGAGATCACAACTAGGCAGAGAGGAAGGTGGGGGGGCAGGCTCCCTGCTGAGCAGAGCGCTGCCCAATGCAGGGCTCAATCTCAGGATCCTGAGATCATGACCTAAGCTGAAGGCAGAGGCTTAACTCACTAAGCCACCCAGGTACCCCAATGTCAAATGAATTTTAAAAATCACCACTTGACAACCATAAGAATAGAGATTGTTTCAGGCAGGACTCACACTCATCAGGGAATGCTAAAACTAGTGGATGAAAGTTTGATGAGTCTAATTATATAAACTCAATGTACCTCTTCACAAGATACTTATTTACGGTGTACAAAATGGCAGACACCACCTCAATCAAGTGACTGAATTATGAGAAATCAGACAAAAAGAGGTCATTTGTCTTCTAATGCACTCAGATGGACTTCTGAAATATTCCTGTCAAAAACTTATTACTTAAATCTAATAATGAAAAAACATCAGACAAACCCAGACTGGGGAGCTTTCTAGAAGTAAATGGCCCTTCTTCTGCCACTCCTGGTGCTGCTTGGGTGCTCGCTGGGGGAAGACCTGGGACACCTCTTTGGTCAAGTGACACCTGAGACTCCGGCACTCACCAGGACCACTGAAAAGCCCAAGGAATGGAGTCAAGACTGAGAACAACAATCCTATTAACTTCAAGGTGACAAGGCAGGATAGTTCTGTAGCGCAGTTTAAAAGGCACACACCACCACTCAGTAAACTCGTGAAAGCCCATTGTCAACGACAGGGTTTGCCTATGCAGATCAGGTTCCGATCTGATAGGCAGCCAATCTATGAGAGAGACACACCTGCACAGTTGGAAATGGAGGATGAAGATACAACTGATGTATTCCAGCAGCAGACAGGTGTCTACTAAGAAGGGAATGTGCTACTTTACTCTAAAACTCTGTTCCTGGGCACCTAGATGGCTCAGATGGTTGGGCATGTGCCTTCAACTCAGGTCATGATCTCCAGGTTCTGGGATTGAGGCCCACATGGGTCTCCAGGCTTAGCGAGGAGCCTGTTTCTCCCTCTCCCTCTTGTCTGTTTGTGCTATGTCTCTCTCCCTCTCAAATGAATATGTAAAATCTTCAAAACACAACAACAAAGAACTCTTCCTACAGACCAAGAAGACATTCTCAATGAGAAAGCCACAATTTGGGTCCACCATATCCTGACCACTACAGTATAGTTTTCTCGATTCTTTCATTGTCCCCTTCCCCATTCCTTATTATACATACAGTAACCATGTATGTGCACAAGCACATTATTGTTGTTGTTGCTTTTAACTAAATGGCTAATGGTTTATTTTGATCAACATAAAGTACAGATGGGATAGAGGAAAATACTGCTTCTGTGAGAAGACCCCCTTCTCCATTAGTAGCATGCTCATTCAGCCATTCAGCTCTTATCTTTATATTCCAGTAAGTTATTTTGCTCTGTTAAAACAACAAAAAAAAGAACATAAAAATCCTTGCACTCCTTGTTCAATTGTAGAATTTTAAATGTTTTTCACTTATCATTGTAAAACCAAGAACAATTTTATAACATTTCTGTACATAGCTGTTATATATGGCAATCTGTCTTTAAGCAGGGATAAATTACTCTAAAAGAAATGATTCCTAGATCATTTTCCCTTCAAGTCAAGCATTTTGTTGTTTTAAACTTCCTGTTAAAAAAAAAAAAAAAAAAAGTAAGTAGTCTGTACTAAAAAAATACAAAGGTCACCAAAGACAAAATTTGTGGGAACTTTTCCAGATTAAAGGAAATGAAAGAGACTTGACAAAAAAATTGCACCATGTGATCCAGGACTGGATGTGCCCTCAAACAGAATTTTATAATTAGCATTAGTAAAACAACAGGCAAAATTTGAATTAAGTATGCAGATTAGCCAACAAGCAGTACTTTATCAATGTTAATTGATTCTGATAACTGCAATGTGGTTATAGTAGGTATTTAGTAGGTATATTAGTAGGTTTTTAGTAGGTATTTAGAGAGAAAGGGACATTATGTCTGCATCTTACTCTGGTACAGAACAAAAATAATATGCAAAGAATGACAAAGCAAATATGATAATGTAAGAACTTATGCAGTTTTTTTTTTAAAGGATCAACTGAATACATTAAAGAAAAAAAAATATTTGAAAATCATTTCCACTTGCAATAGCAAAATTCAAAATTTAAAGAAACTTAAAAAATTTCAGAAGACAGGCAAGACATGAATGGAAACTATAAAACACTGCTAAAAAGAAAAAAAAAAAAAGAAGACGACCTAAATCAATGGAAAGACATACCATGTTCATGGATTAGGGGGAAAAAATCAATGTTAAAATGTTAATTTTCTGCAAACTGATTACTATAGAGTCATGCAACCCAAATAGGCATTGTTTTGGTAAAAACTGACAAGATGATTTTAAAGTTTATATGAAAACTTAAAGGACCAGGAACAGTCAAAACAATCTTGAAAAAGTTAGCAGACTCATGCTACTAACAACACCACATGATTTTGTGACTTATTAAAATCAAGAGGGTATGATATTGGTATAAAGATAAACAGACCAGTGCAACAGAGTACAAAAACATATCTACGTATACATAACTACGTATACGTATACGTATCTACGTATACAATTTTGGACAAAGGCACCAACAATATTCAATGGAGAAGGCAAGTCATTATATGAAGCTGAAACAACTAGATAAACAGAAACACAAACTTGAACCACTATCTCCAATTATACTCGACAATTAATTTGGATCACAAACCTCAATGTAAGAGCCAAAAATATAAAATTTCTAGAAGGAAATATAATACAGTATTTCTCCGTTGGGGCACCGGAGTGGCTCAGTTAGTTAAGTATCTAACTCTTGATCTCAGCTCAGGTCTTGATCTCAGGGTTCCTGCATTGGGCTACATGATGGGCATGAAGCCTATTTTAACTAATTAACTAATCAGTGTTACTGGACAGTTTTCTAAAAACATTAACTATGTATCTCTTAATGTGATAAAATTTTTCAAAACTGAAAACTTCTAGGGTTGCCTGGGTTGCTCAGTGGGTTGAGGCCTCTGCCTTCGGCTCAGGTCATAATCCTGGGGTCATAATTGAGCCCCATGTTGGGCTCTCTGCTCGGCGGGGAGCCTGTTTCCCACCACCCCCAGCTCTCTGCCTGCCTCTCTGCTTGCATGTGATCTCTGTCTGTTGAATAAATAAATGAAATCTTTAAAAAAAAGAAAAAGAAAACTTCTAATCACAGACACCGTAATAAAAATAAAAAGGCAGGGGCACCTGGGTGGCTCAGTGGTTTAAGCCTCTGCCTTCAGCTCAGGTCATGGTCTCAGGGTTCTGGGATCGAGCATTGCATCGGGCTCTCTGCTCAACCGAGAGCCTGCTTTGCCCCCCCCCCCACCGCCTACCTGTGATCTATGTCAAATAAATAAATAAAATCTTTAAAAAATAAATAAAAATGAAAGGCAGCCAACAAACTGGAAAAAAAAATATTTGCAATACATATATCTGACAAAGCACTTGTATCAAAAGTTAATTTTTTTAAAAAATTCTATAAAAAACAGACAAACTTTTAAAAAGATTGTATTTATTTTATTTATTTGAGAAAGAGAAAGAGTGAATGGGAGAGGGAGAGAGAGAGAGAGAATCTGAAGCAGACTCCGAACTGAGCTCAGAACCAGATGCAGGGCTTCATCCCATGACTGTGAGATCTCAAGATCTGAGCTGAAACCAAGAGCTAAACACCTTACTGACTGAGCCACCCAGATGCCTAGGGCAAACTATTCTTTTTTAAAAGGGGGAAGCTGCCATATTCTTCCCCAAACTAATCTATCCTTACACCGGAGGGAGAAGAGGAGCCCTGGTGACTGACAGTAGGGTATCAGACCCTGAGTGGAGCACAAAAGGTCTGCATGCACAAGGGTGGCATGGTGTTGAGTCGGAGCTCAAGGGTAAAATGCCCCAACAGGGAATGACAAGGGGCAGGGTACCAAAGCCAAGCTGGGTGAGGAGGGCATTTATATGAGAGCACTGGTGCAGGCAATCAGAGCCTGAAGCAGGTGAGGCAATCAACCCCAGGGAACCAGTCCAATACAGGGTGTTGGGAGTCCAAGAGGGATAAAGAGGACATCTTCGTCAGGGAAAGGCAGCAGTAGTGATGGGGGAGGAGATTAATTATATAAGAGGATGGGAGGACCAAACAAGTAAATATATTAAATAAAAGGAAAAACAGGAGCTAGATCTCTTACTGTTGGAGAAGGTAGTTACAAATATGGAAAAGGAGAAAACTTTAGAAAAGAACCCTCTGGGCTTGCATTAGAATTTGTGGTACTGGTGTAAACTCATGGCTTTTAACATGCTCAGATAGAGCTAAACATAAATATAGATGTAAATGCATATACATATATGTAGTAAATACACCCAAATTTTCCTTAGACTCTTGTCACTGGGAAGAACTGGTGTCAGAACACCCCAATAGCAGCAAGCACATCTAGCACCCAAATCATGGCTTCTGAATACTATTATATACTCAAAGAACCAGGGCTCCATGGAGGAATGACTAATACAAAGGGCTGGGACAAGGAAAGTACACAGTGAAGCTACATCACCTTTCTGGCAATAGCACTCCAAGAATAATGGGAATATGTCAAAGGGACATAGAAGCCAGATTGACAAAATCCCTAGCAGCCAAATTAGGAACAATCTGAACAGCTAAATAAATAATAGATTATAACACATTGAATAAAATAAAAAGCCACGATTTTATATAGATCTAAATAAACTGAAATTTAGAAGAAGAATGGGATATTAGAGGTCCCATTGGGAACAGAGTTTCATGGTGATTAAGCCTAGCAGATGATACCTTTCCCACTTTGGAAAAAAAGTCTGGCAGTTTCTCACAGAGCTAAACATGGATATCACCCAGCAATTCCACTCATAGGTATTTATCCTAGAGATAAAAACATTTTCACACTGAAACCTGTATATGAATTTTCAGTGTCTTTATATTTAATAGCCCCAAACTAATAACAACTCAAATGTTCCTCAATGGAGAATGGATATACAACCTGTGGTATACTCGTAAATTGGAATACCAGTTCAACAATAAAGGAAATGGTACTCATAAACACAACAACTTGGATGGATCCCAAGTACTATGATGAGTGAAAAACACCAGTCTCAAAAGGGAACACATTATATGATTCTATTGCATTCTGAAAAGTATAAAATTGTAATATAAGGCTATCCTAAACTATCCAGCAGATTAATTTTATATTGTCTTGTAACAAATTACCATGAAGTTAGTGGTTTAAAACAACACACATTTATTACTATCTCAAGTTTCCAGAGGTGAGGGATCTGAGCATGGTTTAGCTGGGTCATCTGCTCAGGGGCTCATTAAGTTTCAAATCAAAGTGTTAACCAAGCTGCTTTTCTTTTCTACAGCTCAGGGTTCTTTTCCAAGCTCACCGAGCTACTGGCGGGAAACAATCTCTTACGGTTGTAGGACTAACGTCAATTTCTTACTGACTGTCAGCTGGGGCCTGAAGTCACCTCCTAAGGCTCCCCATAGTTCTTGTGATATGGCCCTCTCACAATATGGCACCTTGCTTCTTCACAGTAAGCGAGAATTGCTCAATTATTCCATCTCAGACCTCCAAGTCCTCTTTTAAAGGGCTTGCCTGACTGGGTCAGGCCAACTCAAGATAATCCTTCTCTGAGTTAACTTAAAGTCATCTGACCAGGGATTTTAATTACACCTGTAAAATCTCTTTACTTTTGCCATATTCTATTGTGAGAAGCAAATGGAAGTTCTCACCCCCATGACAGATAAAGAGATAAAAGGAACAGGTTATCAGGGATCATCTTAGAATTCTGCTTAACATATCTAGCCTCCAGCCATCCCTCCAGCTGACCAGATACAGGAGAGC